CCCCAAAACAACCCCCTCCCAGCGCTGCCTGCCCCGTGGAAAAAAACTCTCCTTCCCCAGCGTCACCCTGCTGAAACAGCAGTATTGAACCTTGGTAATATGTTATAGCTGGCCCCTAAGGTAGTATAATTAAGGTAAAAGAAAAATGTCTTTTTGCTAGAAGTAAAATAAGATCTTCCCCCCACTTTGTAATCAATTGCCCTGTTGAATGAATGAGGTGTGAATGAAGAAGGCGTGGAAGGCAGCACCTCCAGACAGCTGCAACCCTTGGAGAGGGGATGGGAGCCAGACCAGATCAGTAGAACAGGTCAGCCTCCTCAGCACCCCACCGCCCCGGCTCACCCACTCAGCACCCCTCCCCCACCGCCGGCTCACCTGCCCCCCCGCCACTGCCCGCCCGCTTGTCTCCTCAGCCCCCCACCCCTCCAGGTTGCCTACTCACCCCCCGCGGGCCGCACAGTGAGCCCACCTACTCACCCCCCGCGGGCCGCACAGTGAGCATGTTGTGCAGGCCTGCTATAGGGAAAGCGAATTCTGCTCTGGGCAGCATTAACCTCTGCAGGTTTTTGGTGAGAAAAAGCCTACCTGTGGAGAGCGAGGGAAATAAGCTGCACAGGGCAGCTCTCCCCAGCACTTCCCTCCTCCATTGCCTGGTCATGCCTTCTGAGAATTTGTGTGTCAGGGAGAAAGATTGGGGGCGGGGGGAAGGGCACCCCACAGAGGGGAGAATAGTGACTATATGAACCTCTTCGGCTTTGTTCCCCTTTGCCCTATGCACTGGGGTGAAATATATGGGCCAGAGTGTTTAATTCAAGTGGGGTGACATGAATGTGTTGATGGTAAAGGTTAGCGATTTGCTAGTCCCACACTGACCTCAATCACTAGTTTCAGATTATACAGCACGTTTAGTCTTCAAAGCAATTGAGAAATATAGGTCCTGATCCTCAAAACTATTAAACACATGTTTAACTTTAAGACCATTTACTTCACTGGGTTTAAACTTAAACACAGGCTTAAGTATTTGGATCAAAGCCATAATCTACCTACCCTTCATATTACAGGAAGTGCATTGAAAATGGGTCCCGCCAGCCAGACATAATGTATTTTTAAAGGAAACGATGTCACTTACAATAGCTCCCAATTCCTTTTGCCAAAACTGATAGTCTGTTCAAATCCATCTCTAGCTCTAGTATAAAGGTGCTCTGAGTGCCTGATTGATTAGTTGTTGGAGAAAGAGTTGAACTATTCTGACTTTTCACTGCTCCCACTGCTAAATCCCAAAGTGCAACAAATGCACTTTAAAAACAGTAATATGCGCTGTGTGTGCTGGCCTTGGTGAGCCATTTCACAAAGCGTTAGTAAATTTAGCCACTACGCATTTCAGATCTTAAAAGATTTTTGATTATTTCACTAGTTGAGCATTCCAAACTCTTCTAATGTATTTCACGTCGTCTCCTTAGTTCTTGTGTACAGATATATAGATATCATTTTGTAGGTAGCTAGCCTGTGCTGTCAGAAAACAAGGTATAGATAACCTGATTTTAAATAAAGAGCTATTGTAACGGTGGACCTTTAGGGTAAACTCATTCAGAAAGGAAACTATTCCCTTTTATATACAGAAGTGACAGCTAGAATGTGTACAAATTTCACTTTCAGCACAAACACAGCCTTTCCTAGGATGTAACAAAACTGTGATCTGGATAAACAGGAAAATTCCATGGTCTCCTGCTTATACAAATAGAACCACCATGGGGTACTGATTCTAAGAACAATTATATTCTCTGGCATATGAATGAAAACAAAAGCAAATGCATATAATTGTGCAGTCAGAGGAGATCTCATTTAAACAAAAAGAAAAGACTGAGTTGTTCTGTAATTATGTTCTTCTTAACACAGTGTCCCAGCTTTCAATGAGATTTTGTTTTCTTTTGTTTTCTGTACATCTTGACTCAGGCAAAATTCCTAGCGATTTCAATGGGGATCTTTGCATGAGTAAGGGATGACAGTTCAGTCTCCACAGGAAATGAAATCTCAGTTTCACACAGTGTTTTCTTGGAAGTATGGCTTCTAATTGCAAGCTTGGAACTGTGGAAATTTTATTTTTTTAAAAGACAGCAGTGGTGCTATGTTGCTATGAATGAAAAAAAAAATGCCACAGAAAAACAAGTGCAACATGCATTTAATGTGTGAAGATAATGGCACCATAAAGCAAGTATTGGTGCATTTCTTGTCTGATTCACTGAGGAATGGATACATGGTGCATGTTATACGCGGTCTACATGGGCACTATTATTATGGTCTACTGGATTTTTGTGAAGTGCAACTTAAATATTTGTACCTGTGCCCCAAGCAAAGGATGGGTAGGCATTTCACAAGTAAAATATTATACAAATTAATAGTCCTGAGGCTTCTTTGCAAATGTTAATTTTCTGTCTGAGGAGGATTCCCATATTTTCAAAGCAATAGATCCCAATGAATGCTGATTGCTCCATTGTGTGGGTGCATTTCTAGAAACGCAGACTCTGAATGTGATGTTGAGTTCACAAGGATTTAACTGCTAGCATTGTCAGGATTCAGTTATTACTACTGCATTAATAAAGAGAGGCGAGACTGTAACATCTAATCTTCAATAGCACAGGTATTGTTCGTGGGGAGAAGGAAGATTTGCCAGTTCACAAGGCATAAGAAATCTCAGCTATCTCAAATACACACACACATTTTCGGCCAGCCGAAAGGATGCCTTACCTTCTCAGAGCGCAATCCCTGACAGCTCGGACCGACAGATCCCCTGCCCCAAATCCTGCTGGAGATCAGTGGAGCAAATTTCCCATGTCCTTACTGCGTCCTCCTCACCATAGTAAAAAGTTCCTCTCAACACATCGCCACCGGGTGTCTGACATGATGCCCAGCTCGGTTGTGGCTGCCAGCCTCCCTCCCCCGCTCTTGGATTTAAAGATCCTTCTGTGGGGCCAGACACGTTTCTCCTTCCTCCTCCTCCGAACTGTCACCGTCACCAAGTCTCCCCCATGCACGGCTCGGTGCCTGGTGGGCTGAGCTCTGTCAGTGGCAAGCAGGCAGCCCCTGCCTTTTCCAAGCAGTTGTTGCTCTAACTCCTTCAGTTAAAACACTCTGGCTATTTACGCGTAAGCCGGCCTCTGAAGCTGCCCCTTCTCGGTCCGATTCGGAGGGAGAGCAGCAGCAGAGAAACACAGCGCGAAGGAGAAAGGCATTTACGTTAGAAAGCTGTACAGCTGTTTGAGGGAGTCTGCAGCAGGAAATACCAGAAGACTTATCCAACCACATTAGAAAGGGGGTAAAAAAAAGGAAGCATATAAACCCTGGGCAGGATCATCGAATCACGGATTGGATTTTAACATTGTGTTTGCGTTTTTGTAAGATGGGGGGGGGATTACTTTACTGGGGGGGGGGGGGGGGATCAACAACAAGACATCAGGACCAGATAAATGTATAGCAACTATTTACCCAAGAGTGCCACAGACTTTATTACTCACAGAATGTGGAGTTTCTAGCACTCTAATAAACCTTCCTCTGCTCTCTCTTCCCCCAGAGTTTGAGATTTTCTTTCTCTTAGACGTTCAAAGCCTGCAGAACAGAAAATGGGAGCAGGCTTACGCAGACAAGGGACATGCTACCCCCTATTGGACAATCAATCTCCAAAAGAGGCATTTAATTAAAATCTGAAACAACTGGGGAGGGGGGGAGGCACAGGCTAAAGTAAAAAGAAGCTAATGGCGAAGGTCTTACCATGAACAATACCTTACCTTTGATTTACACACCGTTTTATGAAGTGGGTTTTAGCCCACGAAAGCTTATGCTCAAATAAATTGGTTAGTCTCTAAGGTGCCTCAAGTATTCCTCCTTCTTCTTGCTGATACAGACTAACACAGCTATCACTCTGAAAACAGTTTAAATAGTACAGCTTGAAGCTCTCTAGTCCAGCACTCTCTGATCCAGCAACATCCCTGGTCCGGCATGATTTAATTTTATGTTTTTTATGCTTTACCTACTTATTTCCTTGTGCCAATACCAGGGCCGACTCCAGGCACCAGTGAAGGAAGCAGGTGCCTGGGGCGGCCAATAGAAAGGGGCGGCAGTGCGTCCGTTGTCGGGGCGGCAGGTCCGGTTCGGCGGCGGCACTTCGGCGGCAGCTCAATCAGCCTGCTCCGGATCAGCGGCAATTCGGCGGCGGGTCCTTCACTCGCTGTCTTCCTCTTCGGCGGCAGCTCGATCAGGTTCTTCTTTTTTTTCCCCGCCGCTTGGGGTGGCAAAAAAGCTGGAGCCAGCACTGGCCAACACAGTAAAATTGTGTAACAACACTAACACTTTGTTATGAAGAGAGCCGGTAAGCCTTGGTTAGGCGGTGTTGCAAGCGTTGTTCCGTTTATTTGCCTCAGTGAGATAAAAATAAAAAGAGACCCGCTCGCTACAATATTGACCTCCCTTGGTTTGGCAAATTCTCTGGTTAGGCACTGAACAGGTCCCGAGGGTGCCGGACAAGAGAGGTTCAACCTGTAGAATAACCCTGGAGGTGGAGGTCGTGTAATTAGCCTGTAACAGGCGTAGTGGTGAAGACACAGCTTCAAGCTATGTGCATTGCACATAGAAGCCATACACAGCCTGGTAACAGCATCACCGAAAACTGGCCAAATGACACTGCCTGCCCAGTGCTATCCCACATGGTCTCCTCAGGATATGCAGTGAATCACACTCTGAGAACACACAGGAGTAGTGACAGAATGGCCATTCTTATTCCATCCAACGTAGGGCCCTGATTCAGCAAAGCACTTAAGCACATGCTTAAGTTTAAGCACATAAGTAGCCCCACTGAAGTCAATGAGGTTGCTTACATTTTTAGGTTAAGCATGTTTGTGTGTTTCTCTGAACTGGGACCTAAATGCAGCAGGGCATCCCCAGGAACGACAAAATCTTTTAAATACCGCTACTTAGCTTGTGAGTCAACAGACATATTACTAATCTACAGGCTTTCAGACACAAACGATTCCTTAAAAAACTAATAGAGATACTGACTTGTATGGCAGGGAAGTCACCAAAGCTCATTGTCTTCAGAGACCTCAGCATCCATGCTATGAAACCTCTGATGCTATGGCCCAAAAATTCATACTGGAATCCACTCTAGGTCTCCTACAAGCATTATCCAAATTTATGCATAGAGCTGGGCATACCCTATTCCTAGTCGGATTTCCACTGAATACAGAGGACACAAAAACTACTCCTATGTCAAGGACATAGGTACACATAAGAACTCAAGCCTCAGAGTAGGATGACAGAGTACCATCCTGGTCCACTGCTCATAGATCCCATCTTCTCAAAGAAATCTATGACTGTCCAGCTGGCCATGTGGAAGATCTGGTGAAACCCTAGAATTATACACTGAGCACAGCTATAGTTACACAGACATCTAAACACCACTCCTCTTTCCATCAGCCCTGTAAATCACCATGGTTCTCTGATGATAAAGAAGGAGCAAAGGAAATTTGAACATCAATGATGGAAATCACAAGAAACAACAGACTTCAACTCAAGGCCTGCCTACAATCCTGCTTGAAGCAAAGAGATCATTTTTCTCCTCAGTCATCACAGCGACTAAATCATGACCAGCAGAACTTCATGAGTGGAGAATCATTTAATCAACCCTAATGGCCCTCTCACTACCTGGGAAGCTTTACAGTCTGAAGAGCTGCCAGCCAATTTCATGGAGAAGATACCTGAATCTAAGATGATCTCCCCTGACATCAGGAGGCATAAACCAAAGCCAGAACTATCCTCTCACTTTCCAGTCTTTGGCCCATTCATATAAAAAACAGACCCTAGATGTAGTATAGGGAATCAAAACCACCTCATGTGACCAGGTCTATGACCCTCATGTTAGTAAAAGACACCTGTGATGACCAGAGCCTTCTCCTGACTAGAGCTGAGGGAATAACTGATTTTTAGTTTGGGAGCCAAACTGAAAAATCCGCCCCCCTCACCAATTGGTTTGGTTCCAACCTGAAGTGAAGCATTTCAGTTTTTCTCACCAAAATGAAAAGAATGAAAACCCGGAATGATTTTTTATCAGTTTTAAAATTTCATTTCCAGTCATTTTGGGATGTTTTTCACCTTCTTTTTAAAATGTAGCTACATTTCTAAATAAAATACCATTTTAATATGAAAAGTTGAAATGTTTTGACTTTTGAAATTTTGTTTCAATTTTTTTTCAACCAACACTCTTCACTGAATTCAACCCAAATTCTCAAATATATTTTTCAGACCATCAAAACTATTTTTCAGCAAATTTCCTATTCACAGCAAAAATGTCAGCGAGCTCTACTCCTGACAAAAGGCTACATTGTGACATGGACTATACATACATGCAGGAGCCTACAGCAGAGTGCAATCCCCATTTTTACCTTTATATAGGCTACCTGGAGGTAATTATGAGCTCGACCCTGCAAAGTATAATGCTCACTGCTTTGAATTCAGTGGGACTTTTTCACAGCAGTAACCACTGTGTTCAACAGTAAGCGTCTGCAAGATCAGGCACCCTGATATCAAGGGAGTGAAGAGGTCCACCCTTTCCAGGAGTGAAAGACAATTCAGACTCTATTTTAACTCCTTCTTGGTAGTTTTAGTACAAGCCAGATCTGTCTTTATGTGCATTGTAAACTATTCAAGGCAGGGCCAGTGCCTTCCTGTTTGTTTGTACATTTGTGGAGGCTACTGCAAACAAACATAAGCATGCATGCAGACATGGCATACAAATTTAAGGGCTGTTGTTTTACCTATTGGAGTCAATGGCAACATTCCCATTGACTTCAAAGGCAGCAGGATCAAGCCTTTAGGCACAGATTGCATTTTCTATACAATACACAAAACTGCTGAGAACAATGAAATGAAATCTTAGAAGGAATAATAACAACTTCTTGTGGTTATACTATCCTTTTCATTCAAGGAACTCAAATTGTTTTCTATACACTAATTAAATAAGCCCTCCAACCTCTTTGAGGTAGGTAATTGTTATTATATATGGTTATATTTACACTTGTATTTGTACCTAGTAATTTCAGTGAAGTTCTGCAAGGGAAATTGTGTGGGGAAATACCAAGAGGACTCTGTATGGTATACTCAGGCTTCTTCTCTTCCCTGGCCCCAACCCACTCACTTGTTCAAGGCAGGAGGTCCCTTTTTTTCCATTGCTTGGAATGTCTTCTCTCTCCTCCTACATACCTCATCATATTCTACAAAAGACAGACTTGGGATGAAATCCTGGTCCATTGAAGTCAATGGGAGTTTTGACTTCAGTTTCACCCTTATCGGCTAAAGTGCGGCAACTAAAGAAGAGAATGCAACGCTTGGCACTCTGCAAACATTATCAAATTTATTCTCACAGCAGCCCTGTGAGACGTGGTATTATTCCCATTTTAAAGTTAGGGGAAACTGAGGCACAGATGTGCACTGCCCCATGCTTAAACAAACAGACCACACAATTCGTTCAGTTCATCTGCTTAAAATTTAATCTTATACATGATTAAAACACTCTCCCCACAGGCTTACTTGCTGATCCCTGTACCTTTTGTCCTTATCTACCCCGTCAGCTCCTTTCCTCAGACTGTCCTCCCACACACACACCCTGGATCTTGTTTGGGTGAAATGCAAACATCCATCCATTTCCGATTGTACACAAGACTTGTATTTTATGCTTTTCTGATCTCGCAATGTACCCAATATGGAACAATAAAAAAAATGATTGTGGACATAGTCCTCATTTGTAAGCATACTACAAACTTGTATGTATAATTAAAAAGAGGATTAGAGTCTGTAAAAGTAACCAAATGTAAATATTGTTCCCTATTAAAATGGAATCTGAGAACAACAGCTCTGATGCCATATTTATACCACTATAATTAACACAAGGCCTCTGCAGTCATAACCATATTGATCTGACACTACAGTGGGTCTTGCCAGCAATGAAAGTAATTTGTCCTTAAGCTTATAGCTGATCATGGACCAAAACCAAGAGTCATTTACTCATTTCACTATCCATAACTTTTAAACACAGACATATAAAATTAATGAAACAGAAAGATTACGATTTTACCTTTAAATGTTTCCTGATGCAGAATTCATTGGCTAAAATGTTTAATGCCATAGCTGGACAGAGACATCCTCGTTAGCAAACGGTATTGTGCCTCTTCAGAGATCACTAGCAAAAGTGAATG